TTTCTTGCAATTTTTGGTTTGCTTTTTCTTCCAGTTCTTGCATTTTTTGGTTTGCGTTTTCTTCCAGTTCTTGTATTTTTTGCTTTGTTTTTTCTTCCATTTCCTGCCTTTTTTGGTTTGTTTCTTCTTCCATTTCTTGCATTTTTTGCTGTTTTTTCTTCCATTTCTTGCATTTTTGCTTTGTTTTTTCTTCCATTTCTTTCCTTTTTTGGTTTGTTTTTTCTTCAATTTCTTGTATTTTTTCATTTGTTTTTTCTTCCATTTCTTGCATTTTGTTGGTTTGTTTTTTCATCCATTTCTTTGAGGTATTTTCCTATATTCTCTTTTAGTGTCTCTGTTGGGGAAGTCCTGTACATTTGTCAATAAAGCACTGTCTGGCCAATAGGGAATCTAGATAGGAGGGACTAGGAATCCAGAAGAACTCTGGGTAGGAGAAAAACAAGAGTCGAGATGTGACGCCATGGGGTAGGAAGCCCTGAAACTTCTCCGGTAAGAGACATACTTAGATTAACAATTATGGGGTAATTACTTAAGTCAGAGCTAGCCAGTAAGAAACAAACAAGGCCAACAGCTTCATAATTAATATAGCCTCCTGTGTGTTTATTTGGGACTGATGCGGCTCTAGAACCAGGCTGGCGGGAATGCTTCTCTCAAAGGAAAAAGCTTCTCTTTACAGGTCTCTATCATTTTCATGAAGGTGGTTTTAAGGTCGTTCTCTTCTGCTTCATTTGCATTGGAATGTCGGAGTCTTGCTGGTGTGGAGTCTCTAGAATCTGGAGGTGTCATATTTGTTTTTTTGTTGCTGAGTGTGTTTTTGTCTCTTTCCCATATCTTCTCCTAGTGGGTGTAGAAAGATCCCCTTACTGGTTAGGGGACCAGAGTTTCCTTTTGGTGGGTTCTAGCAAGTCCAGTAATCTGGATGTCCTTCTATTCCTCCTCCTGGTTCTGGTCCCGTGGGTGGAGAAGAAGACCAGGAATCTGGGGTGCTTAGCTTCCCACCTTGACCCCTGGTCCCTTTGCTGGATCTTCTGGTTTCCTGGTCTCATTGGTGGAAGAGAAGACCTGGAATCTGGGGTGCTTGGCTCCCGCAGGGATTGGAAGCTCTGTGCCATTCCCTGGCAATCCCCAGGCACTGAAATGCAGGCCTGGATTCAGGACCTGTTTTACCTGGTCCTGCCAGAACAGCCCATCCCCTAGTCTCCCTGGATCTGCTGGTTTCCTGGTAGCGTTGGTGGGAGAGAAGACCTGGATTCTGGAGTTCTTGGCTCTTGTGTGGATTGGAAGCTCTGTGCAGTTCCCAGGCAATCCCCAGGCACTGGAACACAGACACAGATACAGGGCCTGTTTTACCTGGTTCTGCTGGAGCAGCTCTTCCCCATGGATTCTTAGGTTTGGTGTCTTGAGCATACCCAAAAGTTCTTAGAAGGTTATTCAGTGCTCTTTTTTTTGAAATTCATGTATGTTTGAACATGTTGCTGCCTCAGCCTTGTTTTGAAATTCTGTATTCTACTAGTTTTTGTTCATGATAAATTTCACTGGGTTTTTTGTTTGCTTGTTTGACTGGGCCTTTCATGTTTATCATTTATACTGGATGTTTTTTAATAATTTTTAATTCAATGCTGAACTTTTACTCATTTTTAAAAATTTCTGTCACAAATGGCTGTTTCACCTCCCTTACTGACTTCCTTTTCTGGGTCCTAAATTTCTTTTCTTCATTTATCCACTCTTTAGTATCCTCTATGTGTCACTGATCCTTTTGAAAATTAGGACTCTGAATTCTTTGTCTGGTACTTCATATATCTAACTATCTTGGGTTTCTGGTATTGGGGAGCTGTGGATTTGTAAAAGTGTCATAGTGACTTGCCTTCTTATATCTGTTGTTGGGCATGTGTGCGTGTGTGTGTGTGTGTGTGTGTGTGTGTATGTGTGTGTGTTATACTTCTGTTGGCATAGATAGGTCCTCCAGTTTTAATTTGTCCCTTTTTCACCCTTTCTGTTTCATCATTTAATTTTATGTCAGTTTTATAGTGAGTTGTCTTGATTTGAGTTTGTGTTCCTCATTACCATTTGAAAGGGAAACACTGCAGAAGGATAGATAATGATTTGACAAAAGCCCTGGGGTTGACTTATAGTAGAAGACACTAGTGTCCCAACATAGCTCAGAGAGAGGCACAGTGATTCATAGTAAGGAAATACAGATTATAGGCTTGGGTAGAGTTGTTTGTTTCATTTTGTTTTGTATTCTATAGATTTTTAGAACTAAAGGTAGTAATAATTAAAAGGGGGAAGGAGCCAGGTATGTGGGCTCACACCTTTTATCCCAGCATTTGGGAGGCAAAGACAGGTTGTTCCAGGCTTTTTCTTTTGTGCTACCAGCCAGCTCCCAAATCGTGACAAGGCAGAATTATCCTTAGTTGTAAATGCTTGGCCTAGCTTAGGCTCATTCTGGCTCTTTTAAGTTACATTAACCCGTTTCTCTATATCTTTTGCATCAAAGATTTTTACCTTCTTATTTTCTTTCTGTATATGTTACCTTCACTGCTTCTCATGTCTGACTGGCTGGCAATTCCTGGCTTCTGGCCTGGGCATCTCCCTCCTTTTCTCCTCTCTTCTGTCATTCATTCCTTCTTCTCCTATGTATTCTGTCTGCCAGCCCCACCTATCCTTTCTCCTGCCTAGTTATTGGCTCTTCAGCTCTTTACTAGCCCAAATAGGTGCCTTAGGCAGACAGGATGTAACAAATGGAACACATCTTTACATAAAGAAACATACATCCTTACATCATTAGACAAATGCCACACAATAAATATAATACACCTTTACACAGTTAAATGTATTACAAATGTAATACATCTTAGCCCATTTATAATAATATTCCATAACCCATCCCTGAGTTCGAGGCCAGCCTGTCCAGGACAGCCAGGACTATACAGAGAAACCGTGTCTTGAAAAAAAACCAGAGTGTGAGGGTAGTGAAGAATAATAAGAGGGAGAAGGTATGGATGGGAACTATAAGAAGAAACAGTAAAGAAAATGTTACAGATTAACTTTAGAACAAGTAAGGATAGTCATGATAGCCTGTTTGGGTGAAATACAAACTAAAACAAAACAACTAAACATTTGAAGTACAGAAAGGTGTCAGAGGAGCTGAAACCCAACAGTTATAAGTACTGTCTCTTCTTACAGCAGAACAGAGTTCAATGCCCAGCACCAAGGTCATTGGTGGCTCACAGGCATTCTGTTCAGGGCATCCAACCTACTGTATACATGTGGTGCACAGTCATACATGCAGCCAATACAACCATGCACATAAAATAGTCTTTCCAAAAGTGTAAATTAAAAAAATAAAATCAGAAGGTACTGTTGTTTTAGGGTAGAGACCCAAAGACCGTACAGCACAACCAGAGTCCAAATTGAGTGAGAGTCTGTAATAAGCTGGCCTGAGCCTGCCTGAAAACACTTCTCACAGAGCAGCCTCCAGTACATTTTACAGGGAGCTTTTAAAGGCAAAGAACACAGAAAAACTGCATCCTGGTTGGCAGTTGCATGGGGCAAGCAAGCAGTTTAACAGAAGCCAAAAACATGTACTTATCCTGATATTTGACTCTGAGATTCCAGAACAGTGTTTGTATCACAGTGGGGATAGAAAAGTGGTAGAAGGGGAGTCAGTTTCAGGCTAAATCAAAGATGCCTCCAGTTAAGACAAGATGAGGAACCTTTGCCCTGTCCCATTATAACATACTCAGTGTTTCTTACCGTGTGATTTCACCCAGTAGCTCTGTTAATAGGGAATGGCTACTAGTCTCAGTAAGGCAAATGACTTAAATCATATACATCCTCCCTGCTCAGAAGATCTTCCGTATAAGACTCTGCAGAAATCACCCCTGTCTGGAACGCATTCCCTGCCTGCTGGCTCCATTCCTGTCCTGCTATGCTAGGGATTATAACTTTCCCGGGGTCTTTCTGTGGCTTGACCTGTGAGGTAGTCTGGATAATTCTCTCCTTCATGTTTAGTTTTGAGCGTATGCTTCCTGGGTGTTCACTTTGCCAGCAGATTCTCACCACTCTCCCATGGTTCTTGCATATGAAAGCTTGCATTTGCTGGCCAGACTGTATAAGGTTCAGTGCATTTTTTGGGTTCTCATGATGTTGCTTGCCTAGGTAGTGACAGGGGTGGTACCTACCTTATCATGCTCAATTTGTGGATAATCTCAGCTCATGTTTCCATGCAACGCTTGTGTGGCTGTCTTCACAGCCAGCACCACTCTGGACTTCTCTCTGCCCTCAGCACATGATCTTGCCACATCACTCATCCTCTCCTGATCACCATTCTCCTGGCATCCATGTTAAGTCAGCACAAGCTGATGACTACTCCTGATGACTTCTATGCAGGGCATCTTGAAGCTCTCTCCTCGGCTTACCTTTTTCTCTGAGTAACTGTCTTTGTTTTCCCACTATTGTTTGTTTGTTTAGCTCTTTCATTCCTAAGTATCATGACTAGTGGGGACTCTTCTCCACAGGTCACAAAAAGGCAGTTTCTTCTTTTTTAAATTTTCCTTCCCATTCTCCTGCTGTCCCCCCTCTACCCAGCCCCCAACCACTCCTCAGAAAGGATAAGGCTTCCATGGGGAGTCAAGAAAGCCTAGCACATCAAGTTGAGGCAGGACCAATTCCCTTTTCCCTACATCAAGGCTGCGTAAGGCATCCCACCATAGGGATAGGTTCTGGAAATCCAGCTGATGCTCCAGGGACAGGTCCTGGGTCCTACTACCAGGGGAAAAGAGGCAATCTCTAGTCTCCCTCTTACTAGAAATTCCATGATCTTTTTTTTTTTACAGGCATCAAGGCCAAAGTTGAGTAAGTTGTTCAAAGCTGTACTGTAAGATGATTTTGCTCTACTTGGTTTTATTATAGAGTTTATTTGGTTATCAGAAATGGCTTACATTTGGAGCATGGATGTTCTTCATTTCATATTGGATATGGTATCCCCTTTTCTACAGATGAACCCACAGATATGATTCCACGAAGCTGTCAACTTACAACTGATGTTCCTCATATCACACAGCTACTAAACATGACAAAAATCTGCCAAACTGAAATAAAATTTGGAGGTCATCGCATACGATCAGCAGAATCAGGTATGCACTGAGGTTCCTATAAGCATATGTGTACCCTTCCCCTATAAGGTGTATTCCTCTAGAGACCTCCCTAAGCCTCATTCTCCCACAGTACTGCCAGCATACAAGGCCAGGGCCTGCAAGCTCAGTTCCCTGGCATCCCAGGCAGACAACTAAAATGAAGAACCTTTTTCACTCCAGCACTATGATTTACTGGGGGAAAGGAGGAGGAAGAGAGAGACATGAAACCATGCCTTTCTGTAGGGTAGTTACCCCTCTACAGAAAATGATTCTTTATTATCCAAGTACAGCAATAAAAGACAGGTAAATCTGTTCTCTGTGAAGGATCTGTAGGGAGTGACAGGACTGCAGCCAACTGGAACTATACTATCAGTTTAAGAAAGGAAACTTGGGTTCAGTAGTGGACAGTGTTGCCCTGCCTGAATACGTGTCATTCATTTTTAAACAGTCTTGAAAGATTTCTTTGAAACCTGTGAACTAAAGAAAATATTCTAAGGCTTCCAGTATTCTACCTCTCTACAGACCTCATACCAGCTGACCGAATCAAAGAAAATGAAATACCTTAATATCAAACCCAATATATGCTCAACTCCCTAGATGTTTGAACCCCGGAAACATTTTAAAGTTTAAACATTTAACAGTACAAAACATGTTTTTCCTGCTGTCTGGACTCTCCCCATAGAGACTCTTAGTTAATTTGGCTGGCCTGATTTGTTTTGTTGGCTTGGTTTTTTGTTTTGTTTTGTTTTTACCTCCTCTGGTTGTTATGTGCAGCTGTATCACTCAGCCTGGGAAGGGATGTGGTTCAAACAACACTCAAATACAGAGAGGATGCTAAAGGATAGTCATTGTGACAGATCATCTGTAGAAGTAGATCCTGGAAGTGTCCTATGCATATCTATATATTTATAATATGTTCTTATAAGAAATTGGTAAGAGATCTGTGAAATACGTTAGAGCAGAAGACTGAGTAAAAGTAAGGAGATAGCAAACTCTTGGACCATTATTCATATGATTTTTGTAAGGAATGGCTTGAGTGATGAAATGTTGTGTTAGAGGTACACTGTGGGAATGTTTCGTGTCCCTCACTAAAGAGACTGAAGGACCTGGGCCAGAAAAAAGCCGTGGCACTGAGAGAAGCTGAGGGGGGAAGTGGCAGATTTGTGGTTTCTCAGATAACATTTATGACCCAGAAAGTGGTCAGAGCTTAAAAGGAGGTCAGATAGGAAGAGGAAAAAAGTAGATATTTGTGATGAAAGTTGAAAGCATGAGCTCTTTATCACCTGTATTTTCTTTGTCAATCTTAATATGCCAGAAGTTACATATCCCTAAAGAACTGGGCCTCCTTTGTCCTTTTTTCAGTACTAAAATAGTATATATGTATATGTACATATACATATATATATATATGTAGGTGCTATGCTATAAACCCTTGATTGCATCACTCCCAAACTCATAGAAAAGCAGAGAGAGGGTATGATGCAAACCTCACCTGCTTCATGATTATGCTCTTTAAGTAGGACTTTCTGCTAGCAATGAGGCAAATAGTGAAAATGTGTGTATTGGTTATATATCTAGACTCAAAGAGAAATAGAAAGATTTTGTGCAAGCCATGTTTGTGAAGGAGCCATGGGAAAACATGAAAGTATGAAAGTAAGATCACTGTCTTTCAGGTGACAGTTTAATCTTAAGATTTGCTGCAGAATGCAGGAAGAGTATTTTCAATAACAAACACTGTATCTGTACCTATGATAATTTTCAATAACAGGAATGACTAAGCTATGTCACATATGATGATGACATGATTACAACTGATTTTTTACCCTCTGTACTTCTAGCTGAATGTTTTATAAACTGCCTTTAAAATAAATACAAGTTAATGTACAGTATCATTGTCATCTTATGTAAAGCTCTCAGAGGTGCTTATACTGAATAAGATTTAGTAAATACTAATTACATCAATGTTATAACTAAACAGAAACATTTCCATAGGCTATATTGAAGCCCAGATTACAGAGGGGGATATTGATATTTCTTTTGTAAATTGTGTAAATGGACTTTTAATGCATAATAATAGTCAATTCAACTTGCATCATGTATACAAAAGATTGTGAGTTGATGAAATCCATAAGCATATTTCTTTTTCTTTGTGCGTTCCAATTATATCCATTGTAACCCATTATGATTCTGCCTCTTAGGTCAGTCTCATTGCTTATGCATGATAGACAAGATGACATGAACATGCATGGTACTATGTGGTTTCTTTCTGCAAATACATTTCAGTAACCAATTTTCATATATGTTAACTTTAAAACTTAGTAAAATTGAATATATTAATAACTTTTGCTCTCTGTTCAAGTGTTTGATTTGAATGATATTTCTGAGGATTATGCCCAAGGGCAGATTTTTAAATGTGGATAGCCAGCAGATGTGTCTTTATTTGAACTACTTGTTTTTGTCTCTTTCTAGGGAGTGAACTCCCACGATGAGATTTGAATTGCATGAGAAAATGACTGTGTGCTCATATAATTGGCTGTGTAGTGCTCATGTAAATTTTGATATTTTATCATGAATGCACATGGTCAGAGATCCCAATGAGACCTCAAGAGAAATAGCTATTTCATACCACCAAAAAAGAAACCTTGGAGTTTTTAACTGTTCTAGACTATTTTATTGAATGCTAAAGAGCTTAGTCAAGAGTATTGAATGGAATTAATAAAATCACTGTTTCTAAGAAGTCAGCCTTTCTAAAAAGCTCCACATTACCACCATTGTGTTTGTCAACTCCCAGTGCACGTTAGCTAATGACTTTAGGACTGTGCAATTGATAATCTACTTTCATTAATGGAACCCCAGTTTAATTGAACCAGAGAATGTGGTCTGACTGTTGAAATGAAGCATTCAGCATTAATGACAAAATACAGTGGCCCACTGAACACAAATCAAAAGTAGTAATTTACTTACAAATTAGAAGGTGGTTTCCCTATTGTCTACCTTTTCACAATAGCCATCTTCCTGGGTTTTCACTTTCTTTCTAAATCAGAGGAAACTGACATCCTACTGTAAACTTGTGAATTAATCCATCTAAAAGACAAAAGAAAGAGGGAGGGAGGAATAGAAATAGGGACAGAGGGAGGTGGGACAGAGGAAAGGAAGCAAGAGAATGAATCAGTGAACTGTCTTTGGCACTGGTGAAATCTGTATTAGATATTTTGTTTAGAATCCTTATTGTGAAAGCAAGATTCAAACCAAAGATCACATTCTACTGTGAAACACAAAAACCTAAAAGGAAAATAAATTAGTATATGCTGTCATAAGAGCCAAGGTACTTAACTGTAATTCATGAATTAATATTGTGAAAATGGCTATATTGCCAAAACAAATCTGAAGATTCCATGCAAACCCTATGAAAGGTCCAGTGACAGTCTTCACATGGATAGAAAAAGAAAATGAATCCTAAATTTTATTATCAAAGCACAACAGAACCCAGATAGCTAAAGCAGCCTTGAGCAAAAAACCAGTGGTAGAGATATCAATATACCTGATTTCAGGCTAGACCATAGAGCATTAGTAACAAAACCAGTGTGGTACTGGCACAAAAGTAGATATATGGACCAACAGAGTAGAATGAAGGACCAAAGAAAAGCCACATAGTTACAGTCACCTGATTTTTTAGAAAGGTATCAAAAACATACAGTGGAGAAATGACAACCTTTTCAACAAATGGTGTGGGAAAAGCTGGAATTCAGATGTAGAAGAATGACTCTAGATCACAGTCTCTCACCTACATAAATCAGGTCAAATGATGAAAGATATTAATATATGATGAGAGACTCTTGAGACTGTTGGTAGGAATATATTTCAAGACAGGCCTATGCAAGGACTTTCTGAACAAAAGACTCAAGTGGCTCAAGGAATAAGACAAGAATCGACAAATGTGATGATAAGAAATTAAAACAAAATAAATAACTGATTGAATTAAGAAATAGCTGGGAATCCAGCATGGGACTGATCAAGACCCCCCTGAATGTGGGTGTCAGTGAGGAGGCCTAGGTACTATATTGAGCCTTGGGTGGTAGATCAGTATTTATCCCGGGTATACAAATGGACTTTGGACTCCCATCCAACAATGAGAGATGCACTCTCACCCTGAACTTTCTGGGGAGGATCTAGGCCCTGCCCTGGATGAAATGACAGACTATGGACACTCCCCATGGAGGGCCTCACCCTCCCTGGGGAAATGAGGGGATATTGGGGGGGGGCTGGTGGGAGGGCATGGGAGGAGGGGAGGGAAACTAGAGGGACCTGGAATTGACATGTGAAGCAACCTTGTTTCTAATTTAAATTTAAATTTAAAAATAAATGATAAAAAAGAAAAGAAATAGCTTACACAGCAGGAGAAAAATCTTTGCTCTGTTACAGAGAGCCCACCAGAGACGACCCCTTAGACACAGTCTATTCCCTACTGAAAGTCTTTATTCCAACCAGCTGGGATTATACTCAGGTATTTGGGAACCAAGTGTAGCCCCAAGCATTTAGCACAAGGGGCTTTTAAAGACAAAATCAAATCAAATCCTGCTATCTTCTTGGAAGCTGCAGTGGGAGGTTTTGCACCATCAGGAAGTTTGACAGAAACCACAATAAATTTGTTGGCGTATCTTAACCTTGGGTTTCTAGAAAAGAGTTGGGTGATGATTTTCCTTGGGATTCTCCATAAAGGAGGTCAAATTTCTCTTTAAACATGAAACAGCCTCAACAAGAATACAAGATGGAAGAAGCTCTGCAATGCCTTGCCCTGGTTCATAGATTAACATCTAAAATGTACAGAGAACTTTAGACACAAGACTAGAGAGACAGTTTCTTAATTTTGTTGGTTAAAGAGATCACATAATGTTTGCTTCCATTGTCTGGTAATTCAAAATAAACTCATCTTTTATATTTGACTTGGAATATCCTCTTTCTCTATCTTCAATAAAAATAAAACAGCCCACCAATCATAT